CAGGCCGGGGGTATGGGGTCCCTCCCCAGAAAATTTTGGAAACTTGCTGGTTTGCTGGTTCCAAATCGAATTCACCTCTCCATAAATCAGAAAACCTGACATATACCAGTGTTGGAAATAGCAGCTGGTCCCATATTTTTATATTATTCACGATTTAATTCTCGATTATGATTTCTTGATGAGCTAGAAAAAACTCGGATTTGAAGTATGAAACTGAACATTATTGTGCCAGCTAGCTATACCAGTTGGTTGGGATTGATTGTCAGTTCAGATGCAAATATTGAAAGCAAAAGGTTATACACCATAGATCTAATTGGGTACCACGCTATATAAGATAGCCGAGTCGTTTTAGAGTTAGTGTTTAGGGTTAGGGATAGGGTTTTCTTTGGGTTGTCCACCGACAATGTCTCAGATTGGTTAGGTTGTCCGGCGCAAATTCTGGTTGCTCGGACAACCGGACAACGCTTATTTCGAGCACTGGTAGTATATATAGTGCTGTATAGTAAGTGTATGTAATATATATAGTGCTGTATAAGTAAGGTGTATAGTAGTAATATATAGTGCTGTATAGTAAGTGTATAGTAGTATATATATATATAGTGCTGTATAGTAAGTGTATAGTAGTATATATAGTGCTGTATAGTAAGTGTATAGTAGTATATATAATTATATATAGTGCTGTATAGTAAGTGTATAGTAAGTGTATAGTAGTATATATATAGTGCTGTATAGTAAGTGTATAGTAGTATATATAGTGCTGTATAGTAAGTGTATAGTAATATATATAGTGCTGTATAGTAAGTGTATAGAAGTATATATAGTGCTGTATAGTAAGTGGTGCGTAGCCTGTGCTTTGCAGGCGGTTCTACTTGATTTCCATTGTGGTAAAAAGAGTGTGGTAAACATATATACGGCAAGTATAACCCTTAATCCGAATTGTGAGCTAAAAATCTCAAGGTTGACATCTACGTCAGGTTACACTATTACTGTCTATAAACAGCAATATGTACAGCAATAGCATGTAACTGTCCAGCCACGTTACTACACACTGCACTAAACAACGCACATGAATGTACTCACAATTTAGTCAATATATTATAATACTTTTAAAATAATGATAAGATACTGGGGAAATTTCACTTACCCATTCCACTTCCTGCAGTTGCATGCGAGGAATCATATGACATGTAAATAAAAAGAAGTAAGTATATACTTTACACTTACAGTGGCTATTTCAGGTCTTGCATAACATTTACTTGTTACTTATATACCGGTCAACCTCAAAATGATAGTAACGGCTTGGTTCGCTCATTCTGCACTGCAGTTCAGGTACAGTGACAGTGTCAGTACTTAGATCCATGAAAATATCTTTTGACTTTTGTATGTTACATAGTCATAGGCCTACACACAGACAGTAAAGTCAGTATCACGACTCACGAGGATGCCTAGCTCTAGTACTATAGCCCGCGTACATTGACTGCCGCAGGGCTATAGCACATTGTCAGCTGGAAATAGCATCAACACCGGTTCCAAAAGTTCCCATCGCTTACAAAACGCAAAATTATCGGGCTTTTTAAACACCATCTATCTACGTGGACATCTCACCTATTCTTTTGAACATTTACCACAACTTTACACCATGTATTTATCCTTTATTCCACAAAGTAAGCACTACTGAAATTCCGGTATATATACCGTATTACATACCGTATTGTATATACAAGCACCATAGCTGGAAACCGGTGTTGATGCTATTTCCAGCTGACAATGTGCTATAGCCCTGCGGCAGTCAATGTACGCGGGCTATAGTACTAGAGCTAGAGGATGCCCAGCTAATTCCAGCTGACAATGTGCTATAGCCCTGCGGCAGTCAATGTACGCGGGCTATAGTACTAGAGCTAGAGGATGCCCAGCTAATTCCAGCTGACAATGTGCTATACGTGCGCAGTCATGTAGCGCAGGCTATAGTACTAGAGCTAGAGGATCCCAGCTATAGTATAGAGCTAGAGGATGCCGCTAATTCCAGCTGCAATGTGCTATAGCCCTGCGGCAGTCAATGTACGCAGGCTATAGTACTAGAGCTAGAGGATGCCCAGCTATAGTACTAGAGCTAGAGGATGCCCAGCTATAGTACTAGAGCTAGAGGATGCCCAGCTATAGTACTAGAGCTAGAGGATGCCCAGCTATAGTACTAGAGCTAGAGGATGCCCAGCTATAGTACTAGAGTAGAGATGCCCAACTATGTACTAGAGCTAGAGGATCCCAGCTATAGTACTAGAGCTAGAGGATGCCCAGCTATAGTACTAGAGCTAGAGGATGCCCAGCTAATTCAAACCATTATATTTATAATTACTCTTCAGCTCTAATAATAATATTTCGATATGTGTAAAAAAGGAATGCAGAGATGCCAACACATATTTGAAGCAATCTGCAGTTTCTGGCCATCAAATTAGTAGTTCGAGGGTGACGTAGTGACCTGAGTTTTCGGTTCAAGGATAGAGAACATGGGTCCCAATAAAACCAATGTCATTTACATCAATATAAATATAATATTATATCAATAGAATAGGTTAGGGTTATGGTTGGGTTAGGGTTAGGGTTAGGATTGGATTAGGGTTAGGTTAGGGTTAGGCACATTGGTTTTATTGGGACCCATGTTCTCTATCCTAATTAGTAGTTCGAGGGTCACGTAGTGGGCCGAGTTTTCTAGGGGGGTCCGACATGACCCCCGGAAAAAATTTTGATTCTGAGATGCAATTTCCTGCATTCTGAGGGTCAAAAATGACAATAAATTGACAAAAAATGACAATAATTGAAAAAAATAATATATATATTTCGATCACAGTGAAATTCGTAGTTTGATACAAACTCAAACTGGTCGTAGTGGTGCAAAAGGAATAGAAATTCGTATAAAATACGGATAAATCGTAGTGGTTGGCATCTCTGGGAATGTACCCGCAGCAACGCGGATTATACCTGCAACACCGCATCTGTGCTGTATCATGTACTATGTAGGCATATGACAATGAGATTCACGTCGTGGACTACGAGTGGAGGTTCGAACCATTCAATGTGTGACTAATCAGACTATGACTGAGTATGAGTACTACTCAGTCATACTCATAGTCATAGTCTGACTCGAGTCATTCATTTCATGACTCGAGTTATTTTCATTTCATGAAATTAATTTGATGCAGTAATTTATCATAGGCCTATGATAAATTACTGCATCAAATTAATTTCAAACATACGTACCGTACTTGATGTCGCATCTTTGCAGTTTACCGTAATATTCAAAAACTTTTTCAACGTCACGTACTCGAGTATTTCTGTGCAATCGCCCTATAAAAAGGGAAGATGGTCTAGACGACATTTTGTCGTTAATTTATGTAGGGGACTCGAGGCCGATAGGTGGCGCTGCACAGATGGTCATGAAATTCTCAAATAAAGAAAGAGATAGAGAGAAAGAAAAAAAGAGATATATATTATTAGGAAATCAGGTAATCAAAAAATGCACTAAATATACATATCTATGCGATCTAATTAATGACAAAGGGGGGTTTAAGGACATGATAAAGGCACGATCCGATAAATGTAGATTCATGATGAGAGAAATAGTTTCAGGGACAGAGGAGCAAAATTATGGTAACCATACCATAGCCATAGGCATAGAAGCAAGAGTCAAGTGAATGTACAGTAATATCTTCTTTCCTGAACAACAGTGAAACATGGACCAACATAACTAAGGAAGAATTTAAAATGTTGGAGGACTTTCAAAATGAATGTCTACGTAAAATAATAAACGTTCATAGTAATAGTATTACTATTACGTATTAGTAAAACACCATTGGAAGCACTAACGTGACTAAGGATAGAGTTGGGAATTTTACCAATAACTGATAAAATAGCATACAAAAAACGTATGCTACTTCAATACATAATTAAGTTGGAAAACAATAGATTAATGAAGAAAGTTTTTATACAGCAGATCAAAAAGGAAGGAAGAAATTGGGGAAATGAAATCCTAATAATCCTAGAGCAGGGTTCTCCCTAGCTCTAGTGCTATAGCCCGCTTACATTAACTGCCGCTGGGCTATAGAACGACCCACGGGGCATGCGATGGACCAACTTATCCCCGATTATATCCGGCTATAAAACGTCTGTGGTAGGCAATTAATGCCTCTTATCCGAAGTGAATATGCCTTAAAGGCCTCCTTTAGTGATATCTATAAACTGTCTAATTTTTACAATTATTTCAGGATCTAAAGATTGTCATCCTTCAGCAATAATCTGGCCCCACTGGTGCACACTTACTTTGAAAGCAGATGGTATTGAGTGCCATAAGGTCATACAAAATGTCCCTGGCACCATTTGCCGTCGTGTGGTTCTTACACTCCTGGCTTTATAGCACCCCCGCCCACGGATGCCGTTCGTTGGTGATGAGTATCGCCACATTCTCACCAGCTGCCAGGCATCGACCCGGTTTGCTAGTCAGGACGAATGGCCGTGGTAGAGCATCATATATTGGGGCCAGCACGGCTAACCATTCGTGCGATCAGCACTGCTTATATGGGTATTTCTCTAACACAATGCACTCATCTCGTCCTTTCTCACAGCATGCCTCCTGAATATCCAGTGAATAGGTTTCTTTCGACATTTGTAAAGCCTTGATGGGGCGAACCCTCCTAGCTCTCTGAAAGTCCTTGTTTGCTGCGCAGCACACAACTAACGGCCTGGACTTTCAGAAGAGCTCTCATATCCTCTACCTCCAGTTGAGATGCGCATACAGGGTAGGTTTGCCTCTGGGCAACAGATCGTGCATATAGACAGAAAGAGCATACTCCAGAGCACAGTTATGTCTGTATCATTAAAGTAGTGAATGTCATACTGGAGGCCGTCAGACAAAGGGCACAGCAATGTGGCAAGTTTTATCAACCATCGTTGTAGTTTGCTACCTGCACATCTACGCATGTACATAGTTATGATTATATTACTAATATTGTCCAAGTCTATAGTGCCTTTGGTAACAAACTCGTGCCATGCCCGGTGACATGTGTATTCCAATACCCATGTGTTGGCAATGTCATAAATATCAGACATTGTGATGCAGGGAAAGGTTGCTGTCTCCACCTGGACTTTATAGCAATGCAACCAGCACAGGAAATTGGTAGTTGGTATTACATGCCAAAGCAACCATTAAATTTCTTAGCGTGCAATCAGAAGAGATGAGTGGTTACACGGTGATCTGAAGCTAAATATTAAGTTCCAACCCATATGCATCATGCCACATATGCTACTTGGTCTTTGTGCCTTGTTTCTGAACAAAAGTCTTTAGCTAATTCCTCATTATATGAACTTCCATAGATAGACAATGTTGCATCTTGAGCCCAGCCTATTAATACTACTTCACAAATATTTGGCAATCAGTCTTTTTTTTCCATCCAGAGTGCCTCCTTAGTATTAGCTGCATGTTTTAGAACATCATAAACTGCTGGTTCTTTGCCTGGGCACCTTTATAGTCCTTCAAGTTAGCTTCAGGCAAATTCTGAAATAAAAAAACCAAATATTGCTATACTAGGGCAAACAATTACACCACGAGCAGGTATGCCAAAGGATTGCTTTAATCACTGTGGATGACAGTATTACCTTGCTATCATATAAGAAACCTTCAATTTCTTATGCTCTTTTATTTACCAGGCACTACTCATGCTCTATTGTGTCTGGCGTCTAAGCAATTCTCGTCTGAATTAAAGCTGGATTACTATGCCTACTTTTTAACTGCTTATCATATTACACAGTTACTTCCTCATATCCTTCATTCATATCCTTATTACATCTATTACACTTATCATCGCTAAAATTATTTTAAGTATCCTTTTTAGTCATCATGAAGTTTTGCATTTAAATGGCAAAACACGGGATGCGTTAAGTGATAATACACTTTCACTATATCCTTCAATCCTTATGTTCAATGTTTTAAAAGTTTATCCATGTTTCATTTTTGTTTTGCCTCTAGTTTTTTCAATTTGTCGAGCTTTTAATTACTCGTTTTAGTATAGCATCTTTGACCTTGTTTTTTCGCAGGTTCTTTCTTGTTTTTAATGCCTATGGCTATAAATGATATTTCTAGCGTTGTAACTCTCTAGCGCGGTTCTCTCTAGTTGGCGCAAACGGGGCGCGGCGCGGCCCCGTTTGGTGAAACTGCCCCCCTGTTTGAATCGTTGCGCCCGTTTTAAATTTACCCGCTCGCCCCGTTAATTAAATTCCACACTACTAATAAAAGTTTGCCCAGCGCGGAATCGCACCGTTCAGAATTGCCGTTTCGACAGAGCATCCGTACGCGTCCGTATTTTTAACCAGTACCACGCATGCAACTGGCAAGACAGTAGCAGCAAGTTAACCTGACAATGCACAGTTACCTGTCACTAAGCTGTACACCCGCTCGGCTATTCTTATATACAAGAACCCCAAATACCGTCCTATGGTGTTGTGGCGGATTTACGCATTAATTAGGTCGTAGCGGCTAAAAATACACGGCCCGCCCGGAACCCCGCTAGTTTCCCCCTCCCCTCCCCTGTTTGAATTTCACCTGGGGAGAACCTAGCTGCTAATATATAGCCCTTACATATAAACTGCTGCGCTGGCTATAGATCAACCGATTACGAATGTTCGGTGACCAACTTACTCCCAGGCAGTCAGCGGGAGCTATGTTATTTCGCGCATGTGGAGGGGTGGGCGGCGTTGTGTGTGGTTGTGGACAAAACATTGTTGTTTGTCAGTAACAAATTAATATAGTAATTTGTTCATCTTTTCATTACAAACTAATGATTAACAATCTCTTTTGATCGGCTTAATTTGTGTACTTCTGACAACAACAAGTTTTTTGTCGCACACCACCCAACCGCCGCACCCCTCCAATGCGAAATACATAAGTTCCCGCTGACTGGCGGCTGCTTGGCAGCGGCCGCCAGAAAATGGCCGTTTGAAGTTCGCAAATGCGAATGTCTTGTTCACAAGAAATCCTCCACCGGAAGTATCCTTGGCAACGATAGTTTAGAGGTTCAATTTTAGTAGCGGCTATAACTTAAAGGCGCTCCTTTATGTGATGAAATAGTTTACTATTCTCAAATTAACTATCGTTTTTGTTACAAGCTAGCTATAAGAAATTTACAGGTTGATATGGTTTTCGGGTGTATGAGAAAAAAGCTTTTTTTGATGAACAGCACATGTAAAAACTTGCGGGAACGCAAAGCGCCACCTACTTTTGGCGCATGACGTATGTGACGTAGACTAGGCCTAAGCTCTCGCTTGTGTTACTCTGTTTGCCAAGCGTCGTACAATGGAGCCTGTACAATGTACAATGTGACACCGATTCAGAGTCCGTCTCTTAGACTAATATCAGTTTCGTACGATACGGATGAGGGGCAGTCAATCGCATTGGATAACGATGAAAATGAAGTAGAACATAGACCAATGATAGTTGAAGCATGTGACGATAGTTGTATTCAGCTGCGTACATGTTTTGAACGCGTTTGGCCAACGATTACGCTAGCCCGACCAGGCTGTGGCGACGGATTGTGTTATAGCAACGGACGGAATTGGATATTCTAAAGCCCGTAGCAATACCGTTTCTTTGGAGCTACGATTACCCAGGCATAGTTTTAAGGCAAACCGTGGCCAAGGCAACGTGCGATGCCGGTTGTCAAGTTCGTTGCAACTGTTCACGCAACGTCGAACGAGCAGAAGGAAGACCTGCTTGAATGGGGGAGATTACGCTCAGTATTTGCGATTGTAGCGTACTTACTACTAGTGTACATACATCAGGAGCGTATACTGACATTAACGCTCCTGACATAATGAAATGTTCTTTGGCTTTCGGTACAAGCTAAATAGGCCTAGGCCAAGTTTTTTCCAACTGGACTAATGCAACTGTCAGATTTCCCATTCTACAGTAGCTGTCTAAATTTTCCTAAAGAGAAGTAGCCGCAGTACTCAGTAGGCACTGAACCTAAAGAAAAGCAAAGCTGACAATAGTCACTATGTAAATGTTTTAGCGTAGTGGAAATTATGACAGGACGCTTAATACGTAGAATTTATGCACATGATAATACGTAACAATGTTGTTTCACGTGTAATGTGGCATTTAGTACTTGTACGGTAAGAAACCTCAGTGGTATACAGTACGAGTATAATAATCTCAATATATGCATGTAGTGTTTTACGCCTGAGGTCAGCTGTACAAGCGTAAACTAACCGCGGTCCCCGAACAACAGAAAGTAGAACAAAAACGTATTGCTATACACTGTGAGGCAGATTGGCATGAGCTGAGTAAAGCAGGGCATATGAATATGGTTGGCAACGGATTTTGATTGTCTGAGTATTAATGTGGTTTAATCG